ATGCTCAGTTGGTGATGGACGAAACAAAACCTGCTGTGCCCTAAAAAAGGCTTATGAAGTCTGATAAACATGCGAACGGCATTATCCTGCTGAAATACAGCGCCAGGAATGCGTCGAAGAATAGGAAGGACCTCTGGCTCCACAACTTCTCTTATGTAGCGATCACTGTTGAGGTTGCCCGCAATCTGCTTTAGATGGGATCGACAATTATACCCAAAAGCTCCCCCACATCATGATGCCAGGCATTTGTGCGGTATGACGCTGGATAACACACTGTGGGAGCAGACGTTCCCCTCTGCAACGTCTGACGCATAATCTTCCATCATTGTACTCCAGATCGTAGGGACATTCGTAGGAGAAAACTTGTTGCCACACGGCACACCACGCACTGTGTCGACGTACCCACTGAATTCGAAGGCGTCTGTGATTCAGCGGCAGGGGAATTCTGCGTACAAGAACCCTTGCACGCAGTTCATGGCTGCAGCAGACGGCGACGAACCGTGGAATCAGACACCATAATACCTGTAGCCGTGTTCTAACATTGTGCTACCACACGACAGGACACTGTAAGATCCTCATAGCCATGCGGATAATGTGTCTGTCGTCCCGTTCCGTTGTGCTATTGCGTGCCACACTGCCAGGATTTCGCCTTCTTTTGTTCTCCTCTATCAATTTCTTCTAAACCCGCATCACTGTTGTGGCAATGCGCTGCGTGCGGAATCCTATTACTCGATAAGAGATTCCAATGTCTTGCATACGGACGATGCGGCCTCGTTCGAACTCAGTTAGTTATTGGTATGGCTCCTTACGTTGTTGATGAGGCATACTGACCACTAATTAAACGTTCACCGCGGACAGAGAACGATAAACAGATTTCAACACAACTTTACAGTCCTTTATATATACACGGAAAAAGAGGCCGGGTTTCATTCCATGCATATGCAATCGCTTTGTAATAATTGGTTCAATTTACATAATTCCTTCATGGTGTTGCAATTTTCACAAATATTAGTGATGATTACAATGGATCAGCAAGCATCCAAACCAAAATCTGATGATTGTAAAATGGTCTTTTGATCGAGACAGATCTTATTTACAATTGCATCCTCTGAGCAGTCGATTAAATGCGGCCACCGCAGACCTTAAATTTAAGGCGATAAAAAACAAAATGCCTTCACAGGAATCCCTGGTGGCAGACTGCACCGCAAGACAAGAAGATGGTGAATAAAGTTATGCAACCTTTGGGCAAAATTCTGCTACTAATTCCTACACCCTATCATAGGTGTGCATAAAATTGGTGTCTATGTATCCTCACTTCACCAAATATTATTGAAGAATTAAGCGCATTATTATCCGAAAAAAGTACTGTAATTTCAAAGTGCTTTTTTGGTTATATAGGATAAGGCACGATGTCATAGTCCCAATCGATCACGGAACAAGATGAAACAATCTAAGTATTAATTACCCTAGCCTCTAAATAACACAGCAAATCAATTGCTAGTACCTGAGGGTGTTGAAATGGAAATCCAACTCGAAACGGCTCTACGGCATTATTTTAAAAGTTAAAAATATAGAGAGATAATTTAACCAGTAAAGAACTAGAAAATTATCTTTTTGAACAAGAAGTATTAGCGGGAAAATACGTTCCGAGGGCGGCCCACATTCACATTAAATTTGATTAAAAAAAAAAATGACAATTCCAGGCAACCAGTCCATTCATCAATCGTGCAGTCAATCCTGTTTCAAATTATCACAGCCAAGAATACTGCTTAAGTTTCAGTGGAATGGTACCGGATATCAAAAGTCACTTAAAACCTTGAATATCCATATCTAACCAGATAAGAGCTTCTGAGATAGTAGATGGAAGAACAATATTATAGCAGTCAAGTAATAATATTTTTTTTTTAAATTTTTTATTTTGGCTCTTCGGTACATATATACAATTAGTCAATGTTTATTATGATTATTTTTCAGCTGCTTATTAAAAAGTCTTGAATAAATAATTGTAATAGACGCAGAGAGAGAATCTGTTTTACCGCGACCATGATCATGTCTCCCGATGCGTTTATAACATTCTTTCTTGATGAAAAGATCTGTTGGATTCCTTGATTTCTTTTTTTTTTTTTAAAGTATAGAATGAAGCATAGCTTCCAATTTCTATTTACGCAGAATATTTCCATTTTTCAATCTCTTTCATTCTACAAATTTTGCAAGTTACAAGTCTAAAATGAAAATCTCGTTATTTTTTACCTTTCCAGCAAATGAAAGGCAATTGTTGAGACTTAAATTTTGAGAAAGTGAAGAAGAAATCGCCATTTCTGTGAAAACGGTTGACAAATGTTATCTTCCAGTAATGCAAGTGATAATGGTCAACAGTCGAGCGCTTGTGCATCAGTTCCAAAGAGCGTCAGACGTGTGTATGAATATGTTCTTGGCTTACATCAAGTTTCGATTAAGCAGCACAAATCACAGAAAGGATTACAGCAGTTGTGGCAAAATAAACTCGTCTTCGCTCCTTCCATTCTATTGTGAAGAAGCTTAAGTCAAAATGAATTTATCCAATCCTTCAAGTACTGAACTGACTATGCACAAACGGAATGTCAAAATGCATGATGTATATATATATGTATTCTATATTTTGGATTAATTTACCAAAACAAGGGTAGGTTATGTGTTAAATAATGCCCGGAAAAACACGGTACAGTGAGTTTTTGGCGATATATATATAAATCTTACACTACCAAAATTAACACAAAACTTTAAAAGCATATTATCATGCTTTATCGGTTATTTAAACAATATGATTAAAAATAAAACCCCAAGGAAGAAGGAGAAGGGGCGAAAATTGTTTCCAGCTGCTTAAACTTGTAGTTAGCGGCCCGGAAAAAGCTTCTTCCTACTTCAAACGGAATGTGGGACCTAAAAAATCAGCCGCGCGGAAATCTCATCCGTATGCATTGAAATTCTATACTTTCAGCTCCCACACTTTCTTGACAGGATGTACGTGACAAGAATTACAATATCGGATTGTATGAATTGGGGAAAAAAAAAAAAAAAAAAAAAAAAAAAAAAAAAAAAAAGAAAAAAAAAAAAAAAGAAAAAAAAAAAAAAAAAAAAAAAAAAAAGAACAGTTTAGGTTGATAAAATTAATACGGTGCAACTGCGCTCGTTATTCGCTCACTGATAACGGAAGGCGCTAGTTTTAAAAGTAGTTGAAATTATGTTTATTACAGTGGAAGATGGAAGACAAAAGCTGCTTAGCGAAGGTGGGATTTATTTAAATTTAGTTTAACGTTCATTACAGGACTAGAGGGATGGAAAGTATAGTCTTTCCAGGAGAATTTTCTAGGAAAGGGATCTTTACTCCTTGATACTTGTTTTCGTCAAGATGAGGGGCTAAGGTGCCGTTTTCTGTTTCTTGTTTACAGTGATATAACCAAGATAAAATCTTCGACGGTATATACGCAAAAATCTACTTCTACATCATGGTCAACAAAAATTGCTGATGTTTTAGGACTTTCTAGGAAAACTGGATAGCAAAGTTGACTTCCATGCGATTTTCATTTTGTATTTCATTTAAAAACTTAAATTTCTTGAATTAACAAAATATTACGGATTTCATGAAATATTAAGCAGTTCTGAAGGGTTAACATTTATTTATATACCGTGTGGGTGAGTACGAAAATCTTCATCTGGCCCGTTGATTTTCTCGGGAAAAAGAGCTACAGAAACTGGTGTTCAATATTTTTATTGGAAAATGTAGTATTATTAACCACTGCTAGGTCTGTGATCAAAGCAGGAATGCATAACTTGAAATGTTGTTCTTAATATCGTATTTTTTCGTAAAATATGCTCGCATGCTTCTCTCTGCTCCAATGCGTAAATAAATGACCCCTTTCCAACGCTATCTTTCTGAATATTATTTACATTAATTTGCATTATATGTGCTAGTATCCTTTCCATATTTTTGTATTTTAATACTAATACCGTACAACAATTTGTGCTTCAATTACCAATACTGTATACGAACTGTCAAAAGCTATCACACTACAGCATTACCGATAAAACACCGATAAAAAACGCTAAAAAGTTAAACGTGTATATATACTTAATGTTATTGAATAATGACAATTATAAGTATATAATTAGTGAGTTTGACAACCTGGCATTTCTGAGGTTTCTGTTGCCAGTAGTGGTAACCTTAATCGTACAGTTAGCTCTCAACTGAACGACAGTAAACTAATCAAGCCTAAACATAACTAAGTATGCTTACTTCACAGCGATGGGAACGTAACTACCAAGAAACATCAGAATAAAACAAAACAGTCTGCGGAAAATATAAAGAGGAATATAGTGCGTGGCATAAACACAGGATAAGTGAGTGGGATAAACACAGGATGTCACAATATTTGGAAGTTGCTTTGGCTGTTTTCATAAAAACATTACATAATCCGAACTATAAAATCATCGATCTTCAAAGAGGGACGTTTTCGGGGGGGGGGGGACGGAGTTTTAATAGACTTATTTGCGTAAGTTTGAATTCCATGACATTGTTCGAGTTGCTTTGTAAATATTGTTCTATAATACTACCTACATCTTAGTTTCCTCATTTTTAATGTTCATTCTTCCGTTACTTACAATGAGTTCTTCCTGCTCTGAACACTGATTTAATTTAACCAAACTTATTCTCCAGATGAAACTGACCGAAAACACAAGGAAACTGTCAATAGTAAATTTATGTTAATTATAATATAGGTTATTTCTCTTTTCTGCGTCTTTTTTTGCAGTCCTTGAGTTAACCGTGGTCATTTTTACCGGTAAATCGAGAGCTGACTATATTAATTACCCACCTGTTGCCAAATCAAGTCCCGAATTTTATCTCCAAGAAATAGTTTGCTAATAAAATATAATTTAGATATTTAAAATTACACGCGGTACTTAAAGAGCGCATTTGCACAAACATAAATAGATAAAAACAAAAATAAATAAATAAAACTTACCTCGTCATACATGAACTGTAATGTGAGGGCAGATTTTCCAACGCCACCACTGCCGACCATAATCACTTTGTGGAGAGCTGGCGTGACACTTTTCTGTTTAGACATTCTTGTTGGACGCAACCGATCCAAACTGAAAAAGTACCGCAATTCCTTTGTCAGGTTAGGCATTTCGTTTTTCAAATTTTCAGTTTAAAATTGTAATGTATTTATAAAAATATCAAAAGACTGATCCGCATCAGAAACCGATCCTTCCCATCTGAAAAGCAGTTCTACGGCAAGAATAACGCAGATTTCACCGGGAGGAAAAATTGCATTTCCTACAACTGACTCATTGTCAGACAATGACGTTTTCTTTCTACTTCACTGCGCCGACACATAGGGAAAGATCAATGCTCTTTTTAGATTAAACACCATATCGAGAATGTACGCAAAGAGAAAACTCGACGCTTTATGCCTAAGAAAGTATGAAATCAGAATTTTGCACCAGCGAATGTTCTGAGATACCTGCTGAATTTAGGACGAGGAGTAAAATTGCATTAAATCAACCTGCAAATACACACTCAAATTCTTTTTTGCACACCTCTCGAAGAAGAAAGTAGTAAGAGGGTTACCACAGAGAACCTAACTAGGAGAAGAAATCGCCAAGGTCGCCAATGGGATGACCGCAAATTATACTCTCAATATTATATTTTTCCCTCGGAGGCAAATAAGTTAAATTAAAAATTAATATTTTTTCTATCATGAATTGTATTCTTTGATCGATTTTTTTAAAAATTTATATATATATATATATTTCGAATAAACAACTTCCCGGTAAAATCGGAATACTCCAGACTTTGCTTGCAGTAAACGTCCAGATCTTGCGTTTTTTAAATTTATTTCAGTTTAGTTCATCTCTTTTAATTAAAGTTTAGAAGAACCATTATTCATTTACGGTCGAAAGCAAAGAAAATGGCAGGAAGAAAATTTCAGTGACAAATTCTTAAAGAAAGCCAAGGTATTTTACCATATTTATAATGAAACTGAAACAATAAATAATCCATATTTTAACAGATGATTTTCAACATATTTTTTATTCCATTATAAACTATTTTAATTCATTACACAGAACCGTGGTAGACCATTTTATGAAGACTTAAGTAATGGTAAATATCCGTACTTAATTTTGTCTTAAATCTGTAACTAGCACACTGCAAACTTTATCCGCATTATTATATGCATATAAATCATTAATTTAATTAAATCACTTCGATAAGTGAAAGATCTTCATTTTACATGAATTTTCATCGATATAAAATTTTAAAGAAATTACAAAAGCGAATGAAATTAATCAAAAAACACAGTAAAATTTAAATTTATACTAAATATATTTTAAATTAAAATTATGCATTATCGGTTTAATAATCCTAATTTTGCATTATAATGCGATTATGAGATACGATTTGATTTTATCGACTCGGTTGATTAAGAAGACAGTTCTGAATATGAAAAAAACTAAAGACATATATATTTTAAAAGACAATTCCCCTTTTTTCTTCTTTTCACCACTTTTCTTAATAATATTCCCCATACAAAAGAAAAGTCAAGTTTCTTAAATGGACAGATTTTAAAATTTTACAATTACGAAATCAGAAAACCTATTAAAATATCTTCAATCAAATGCCCGTAAAATTTAATATATAAAACAAAATGAAATATTTTCAGCAATCTGATACTATAAACATTAAGTTTTAAAACAACGAGGAATTCCTACGTTAGAAATCATGAACGTCAATACATTAAGCATTTAAATAATAATAAATAATAATAAAAACTAGCACATACCAAATATTCACACTGTAGGGTTTATATTTATTTTAACTAACATTTATTTTAAGTTTAAACTTATCTTTCCTGTCAAGCCTTACTTTCCCCTGGAACTGCCAATGCCAGAGTATGTAAATTTTAGTAGAACTCGCAAGGATTCAAATTATCAGCGGAAGTATTCTCTGAGTTAAATAGAAAGGAAACGAGTTCAAAGTGGCGCTTTCTTGCTTCATGAGTGTGGAAGTGGCTAGCTAGAAATTGAAGAACCACGCGTTTCGGCCTGTGTGCTTGCCTCGGCAAATTGTTAATCTTTCAACGTAATATTCAGAGTTTGCTGAATTATTAGCGGTATTGTAAAACGCGGTGAGGTTAGTTACATTTAGAGAGCCTCGTAGTTAGTTACTTGTTCGTATCTCTTTTTAGTTTCTTATTTTTTTTTTTACCGCCGGGTCGGCATAGTTTGTGAGCGTCAAGAGCACGCAATTGTAATTTCTAAAGTTGAATAAAAAGGGACTTAAACCCTTCTCAAGACTCTGTCTAATTTCCAGTTTTCTGCAGTCACCACTTTGTTGCGTGCTGGTTGGAAGCGCGCAACTTTACATTGGCGCCCGAACACTTGTCGAACTGAAATGGCCGAAAATCGGATGGAAGCCGCGGGACAACAACAAGAAATGGCAAGCCAATTGGAAGGATTTGGATATCTGGCCCAGACGTTGAGAGCGTCAATCAAGCCAAACGTCAATTTCGACGGAAAAAATTCGGTGGCGATATTTCTAGAAGGCCTAGAAAATCACTTTCAGCTCTACCCTGTGCCTGAAAGACAAAAAGTTGCCATCGCCACATCTGCACTAAGAGGCCAAGCCGCGCTATGGTGGAAGAATATAGGCAAATTTTTATTAGGGGAATTCGGAGGCCAGACATATACATTTGAAAATTTCAAAAAATCGTTATTAAAGGCCTTCCCCATAGTGTAAGATCGAGCAAGGCTAGAAGCCGAACTATATAGTTTCTATCAACGGGATATAGAAGAGTTGACTGACTTTATTCTGCGAAAAATTAAGCTGACGGATATGCTGTATGGGAAGAAACCCGACGCGGAGATTATTGAAATAATCTTACCAAGATTGTTACCTGCTGTTCAAGACTACTTCGAAATTAGAAACCCAAGCACATTGCAGGAGCTCTTCGAATTGGCGGTGAAGTTTCAAAATCTCAGAATAGCGGAAAAAGCTAGAGGGGCATCGTATTCTCAAAGTACCCGAAGGCAATCTTCAAATGAGCAAACCAGAAATGCAAACTACTCTTATGGGGGAAAGAGCTATCGAAGCTAACTCATCGAACCTCGAAGGTCAAGGCCCAAAAAGGAAATTCGGAAAAAAAAAAAAAAAAAAAAACCGCGTACCCAGAAGGCAGAAGTTGAAAAGAAAGCTTTAAACGAGTAGAGGGGCCTGTGAAAGCGAGGGTCCAGACCCCGGAAGTTTTAAAAAAACCCTCAAAAAGACATTTAAATACGGTCATCGTACAGAACTCACATCTACCAATTATACAAGTCCTGGTTGGCGATGTACCAGTAGAAGCCCTCATCGATACAGGAGCAGAAGGTAATTTTATGAGCGAAACATTCTTCAAAATGCATTTTTATAGGTTACGATTATTTAAAAATAAAAAGATAGAAATTATAGCGGCGCAAGGAAAAACCTGTCACTGCATCGGGAAATTATCATTAAACATACAGGTAAAAGAGGAAAGCCTCAAAGTATTAATTTTTGCAGTGAAGAATCTGCAAAATCCTCTTATTAAGGTATGGAGTTTTTAAGGGCCGCGAGGGCCAAACTGAATTTTCAGGACAGTTCTATTGTGCTGGAGATGGACCAGAGGGTGGTGGAACCCAGGGATAAATAGAAGGGCTAGCTCATTTCTTTGTTCGACTCCTCGCCGACGCGAGCCTAATGGGGGGACGTAACAGGCAATAATCTGACGTCACTGTGATGCCACCTGTCCTGATTTCCCGCGTTTAAAACAGTAGTTTCATTAAGCTGCGAGACGATTTTCTAGAGGTTACATATCCCAAATTAATTTTAATAATATATATATTTGTTTTCTAATAATGTATATATTTAAAATAATTTAAATATATGTAATTTTAGTCAGTTTTTATTTTAAATTCTATATTGTAAAGTATCGTTTAAGTAATATGGCTTTTTGCGCTGTAGTAACGTGTCGTAGCACTTACAGAAGTATGAAAGGATGAGATATTTTATTTCATGGGACCAAAGGATCCAAATGAGAGTTTGCTTTTGACGAAAGAATGGATACACAAATGTCAAAGAGAAGATTCTATTAATGTGAAGAGCTGAAAAATCTGCAGCGAACATTTTCTATGCAGTGTTTATGCAGATGATATGAAAAATCGCTTGTTTGGATAGCCACAAAAAGAAACTGTTGAAATGGAATGCTGTGCCGAAAGTAAATTATGATTGACAATAATAAATCGAAATGTTGATGATTGAAACAATAACTCGCAAATCAAAATTTAGATGATTTTGAAATAAAACTCACAAATGAAAATGTTGATCATCCTGAATGTTTAAGGATAAACAAGAATGCATTGATAATTTGAAGAAACAAAATAATATCCTTAAGAAATTGTATTAAAGTATTGAAAAATAGAGAAAGAAAAATTTTAGAATGTTTGTTCAGTGACAAAGAAGGTGGGACGACATCTAAAAAGAAATTGGTATCAGAAATTAAAATCTCAAATAGCGAAATTGGGGGCGGGGGGGAGCACAAATCGGAGAATTTGGAAAAATTTCTAAAGCCTTATTTTTATAAAGACGCAGATTAATGCATTACTGAAAAAGAAGAAAAAAAATCAGGTGGACTAGTGAAGATATTTCACGTTGCATCGTCATAAGAGCTCTGTCATCTTAAAGCTATGACTTTTTGGAAAGAAAATAAAATTAAGAAAAAATTGGAATATCTTTACCTAGTATTATCAAATTAAAGAAATGGTGTTTATTTTATTTTTTAGTGTTTTCTAAATTTTAGTATAGTCCAAGAATTCAAAGTCATGTTCTTACTCTAAAGAAGGAAAGAGGCGAATATTTGTATTCTGTAGAAAAAATATGCGTTCTCAGTTTCGACGAAATGCATATAGATTGAAAACTGTGCTATGACTCTAAACTGGACTAAGTTGGTTCTTTTCAAAATGTGCAGTTTGTTTTAATCAGAGGTCTCATTTCGCGCTCTGCCTCAAATTACTGAGAAACCGCGTTTTAGATAGAGGATTTGTTTTAGAAGATGTAACTGTTTTAAATTTTGATATTATTAAAGAGGTTTTTAAATAGAGATTGAGTTACTAATTTTGTTAAGTACTTGTTAAAGTTATTTTTATTGTATCCTTTGTAACTAATTATTGATTAGATTTTGTGCTAGATTAGCATTCTAGATAAAATATAATAGTATAAAACATCAAAGTAATTGGCATAAAAAGACCTGCTTCCTTTACTCACACTTTTGAAAAATTAAATAACTGATTTAGGTACTCTGAATAAAGCTATTTTGTCAAAATTAAGGTAACAATCTTATATACATTTATTTAATTGTAATACAGATATAAGTATAAATTACAAAATTATTTAAAAAATATCTATTATATTGAATCGGAAGAGAATTATAACAATGTAAAATTTACAATTAGGCAAAAAATCAAACGTAGGTTAGCAGAAATGTTGCCATATATGTCATG